TATTATTATTATTATTATTATTATTATTATTATTATTATTATTATTATTATCATTATTATTAGCACATTCTGTGAACTGATATGGAAGAGTAATGGAACCGTGCGTTAAAATATCCTAGAGTCCCACTATATTGTCAAAAGCCCCAAGACTAGCATATAACATGTCTCTTAAAGTTTTCGCCTTTAAATGAGGTTAAGTAGTACGTTAGAGAGCAAGGCAGTAAACAAGGGTCATATAAAAAAATAAGTGGAACTCTTGCGACGCATAGAATACCAGTGAGACTTCCGAGATTCGTTAAGATCTCAGTAAGACCCTTGAGCCTTTCTGAGTTCAGTGAGACTGATGTAAACGTTTATCTCAAGGGTCCCAGAGTCATCAGAGTTTTGGCCAACACATTGTCATGGCCCCTGATATTATAATTCTCAGCATTTACTCTCAAAGAACCATAACTACCATTAAGATTTAATAGTTAATGAATTGGCTCACACTTAACACTGTTCACATGGCCATGACCTATAAGTATTTCCAAATGTCTTTATGAAGGGATCTATCTTCTGTTGCTGCTGTTGTTCTCTCTCTCTCTCTCTCTCTCTCTCTCTCTCTCTCTCTCTCTCTGTCTCTCTCTCTCTCACTGCCCTGGTTGTCCTTCACACACACACACACACACACAAGCAGTGATGAACTTCTACTATTAAAAGCTGGTAATTTGATAGAAAATTTAACTCTCATATCCACTGCATCCACTCCCACACACATCCACATACTGTCCACTCCCATAAACTCCCACATCCACTCACACACACATCCACATACTGTCCACTCCCACAAACTCCCACATACACTCACACACACATCCACATACTGTCCACTCCCACAAACTCCCACATACACTCACACACACATCCACATACTGTCCATTCCCACAAACTCCCACATCCACTCCCACACACATCCACATACTGTCCATTCCCACAAACTCCCACATCCACTCCCACACACATCCACATACTGTCCATTCCCACAAACTCCCACATCCACTCCCACACACATCCACATACTGTCCACTCCCACAAACTCCCACATACACTCACACAGTCTACCTCCCGTGTAGTCCACCTCCCACTCAGCTCACTCTGGCCACGACTTACCAAGAATTTTCACGTGTGTCCTTCACTTCGTCTTCGGTACAAGGTCGTTACACAAGACTGGTTTTTATATTTTGTAAGTACACGATGGAGGCGTGAGAGGGTGGGAGGGGTGAGTGGGTGGGAGGGGTGAGTGGGTGGGAGGAGGGGTGGAGGGGTGGAGGGGTGGGGAGGGGTGAGGGGTGGGAGGGGGAATGGAGGGAGGAGTGAGTGGGTGGAGGGGTGAGGGGTGGGAGGGGTGGAGGGTGGGAGGTGGAGTGGGTGGGAGGGGTGGAGGGGTGGAGGTGGGGAGGGGTGGGAGGTGGAGGGGTGGGGAGGTGAGGGGGGGAGGGGTGGGAGGGAGGGAGGAGCGAGGGGTGGGAGGAGGAATGGGTGGGAGGAGGAGGGGTGGGAAGGGTGGAGGGGTGGGAGGGGTGAGGGGAGGGGAGGAGTGAGGGGTGGGAGGGGCGAGGGGTGGGAGGGGCGAGGGGTGGGAGGTGAGGGGTGGGGAGGGGTGGGAGGGGTGGGAGGGGTGGGGAGGGGGAAGGGGTGAGGGGGTGAGAGGGGTGAGGGGTGGGAGGTGGGAGGGGTGGGGAGGAGGAGGGGTGGGGAGGGGTGGAGGGGTGGGAGGGAGGGAGGGATGGGAGGAGGGAGGGGTGGGAGGGTGGGAGGGTGGGAGGGGTGAGGTGGTGGGAGGGGTGGGAGGGGAGGGAGGGAGCGAGGGGTGGGAGGGGCGAGGGGTGGGAGGGGTGGAGGTGGGGGAGGAGGAGGGGGAGGGAGCGAGTAGGTGGGAGGGAGGAGGGGTGGGAGGGAGGAGGGGTGGGAGGAGGAGGTGGGGAGGAGGAGGGGTGGAGGGGGAGGTGGGAGGGGTGAGTGGGGTGGGGAGGGGTGGAGGGTGGGAGGAGTAAAGGGGAGGGAGGAGGGAGTGGGTGGGAGGAGTGAGGGGTGGGAGGGGTGGGAGGGTGGGAGGGGTGAGTGGGTGGGAGGGGGTGGAGGGGTGGGAGGGAGGAGGGAGGGAGGAGCGAGGGGTGAAGGGTGAGAGGGTGGAGGAGGGAGGGGTGGGAGGAGTGAGTGGGTGGGAGGGGTGATTAGAGGAGGAGGAGGGTGCAGGAGGGGTGATTGGGAGGAGGAGGAGGGAGGGAGGAGCGAGTGGGTGGGAGGGGTGAGTGGGTGGGAGGAGTGAGTGGGTGGGAGGAGTGAATGGGTGGGAGGGGTGAGTGGGTTGGGAGGGGTGATTGGGAGGGAGGAGTGAGGGAAGGAGGATAATTACCTAACAGTTTGTAAACCATCCTACAAGGCGTCCTGTTACGTCCTAGGAAAAGCTGCTGTTGTTGTTTTGCTTGTGTTTTTTTTTGGCAGCCTTCACCGTCAAGGTAGTTAACATGAACTGATCTTTACAACAGGAGCCAACAACCTCGCTCTCACTCCTCCCATAAGGCTGTACACATATGGTAAATAAAGACAACTTACTGTACAGACTACGTGTAATAATATCGCATATATAGGAATAAAAACCTATCTAGTTAACATACGATAAATAGAAATACCGTAGGTGGTCAACACATATAGAGGCACATACTTAACTTATAAATAGGTACTATATATTTCAGCTCCAATAAACAAGTAACACATAACAGCACAAACTTATAACGTAAAGACCGATATAGTGCACAAACAGAGAAATGCACAGTGATTGGGAGGGAGGAGTGAGGGAAGGAGGATAATTACCTAACAGTTTGTAAACCATCCTACAAGGCGTCCTGTTACGTCCTAGGAAAAGCTGCTGTTGTTGTTTTGCTTGTGTTTTTTTTTGGCAGCCTTCACCGTCAAGGTAGTTAACATGAACTGATCTTTACAACAGGAGCCAACAACCTCGCTCTCACTCCTCCCATAAGGCTGTACACATATGGTAAATAAAGACAACTTACTGTACAGACTACGTGTAATAATATCGCATATATAGGAATAAAAACCTATCTAGTTAACATACGATAAATAGAAATACCGTAGGTGGTCAACACATATAGAGGCACATACTTAACTTATAAATAGGTACTATATATTTCAGCTCCAATAAACAAGTAACACATAACAGCACAAACTTATAACGTAAAGACCGATATAGTGCACAACTCTGAGTGGGAGGGAGGAGCGAGTGGGTGGGAGGGGTGAGTGGGTGGGAGGAGTGAGTGGGTGGGAGGAGTGAATGGGTGGGAGGGGTGAGTGGGTTGGGAGGGGTGATTGGGAGGGAGGAGTGAGGGAAGGAGGATAATTACCTAACAGTTTGTAAACCATCCTACAAGGCGTCCTGTTACGTCCTAGGAAAAGCTGCTGTTGTTGTTTTGCTTGTGTTTTTTTTTGGCAGCCTTCACCGTCAAGGTAGTTAACATGAACTGATCTTTACAACAGGAGCCAACAACCTCGCTCTCACTCCTCCCATAAGGCTGTACACATATGGTAAATAAAGACAACTTACTGTACAGACTACGTGTAATAATATCGCATATATAGGAATAAAAACCTATCTAGTTAACATACGATAAATAGAAATACCGTAGGTGGTCAACACATATAGAGGCACATACTTAACTTATAAATAGGTACTATATATTTCAGCTCCAATAAACAAGTAACACATAACAGCACAAACTTATAACGTAAAGACCGATATAGTGCACAAACAGAGAAATGCACACACACACACACACACACACTCATCTTGACCACACCTATTCAGTGTCATCACCACACACATCATGATAGTGGATACTATACTCTTCATATCAAAGTACAATGGCAAATATTTGACTTTAATACATGATTACTTTTCCATTATTACACAGTTAAATATTCGAAACTTTATAAGCTCATCTAAATCCTATAGTAATTGAACAAAAATTAATGGACTGCTATAATCTTCCACTATATAATGATTAGGGATTCTTTGATCAGAGACAGTATCAAACTGAACATTTTCTATTATATGTTCAAACTGCTAACCACAACTTCCATTGTATTGTAAGCTCACTCTTCCTCAACATGTTACAGACTCCATCCCCAGTAACCAACAATTAACTTTATATCAACAAACTATGCGCTTCTAACATCCCAGGATTTGTAGTATTTCTCCTCAACATATGAAAGACTCAACATTTATTCAAATGTTCTTTGATTTATTACTGCATCTATATCTTCCTAACAATAAATACAAGTTTCTTTTGTGTCTGATATGTATATTGCTTCATATTGAGTAGGCAAATATATATAGACATCTGTTTACTGTATTAATATTCCTTGTAATCTCTAATGGCAATAAATGTTTCAATTGTTTCGGTGCATATTCAGTATACAGTATATAAGTCTAGTTTGGTCTGAAATATGCAATTCCAATCCTAATGACTTATTTAATTTACAAAAATATACTCATGATACGTTGTCTACAGATATTCCATTATTTCACCCACTCATTGCACGCCACTATTGGCCATTGATATTCCCATAGTAACTTTCCATTTCCAGTATGAAGGCTGCTAACGCCATTAACATAGACAATGGTGGAAGAAACAATCATTGATATGTTATGTGATACCAGATGACGGCGTCTTATAACTCACAACATCACAGACAAATTTATCAGAAAGTTTAAGTAAGTCTGTACCATGGCTGCAGATCTGTTTGGTTGAGGAACGGGTTCAGACTGATGTAGAGGGAGGCTATCCAGGACTATATAGAACAGATTATGCCTTCTGTCTGTTCTCACCTCCAGGACGTGGACCTCTGGTTTGAGACATTGGCATCAATACCAAGTGATCCGTGAAAAAAAAAGTGTGACACTTCTTTTCTTGATGTGAATATTCTGAGGTAGGCAGTCTTACACACATCGATGAGGACCTGTGGAACCGACGAGGACCTGTGGAACCGACGAGGACCTGTGGAACCGACAAGGACCCAGGAACCGACGAGGACCTGGAACCGAGGACCTGTGGAACTGGAACCGACCTGTGGAAGTAACGAGGCCCTGTGGAAGTGACGAGGACCTGTGGAAGTGACGAGGACCTGTGGAAGTGACGAGGACCTGTGGAAGTGACGAGGACCTGTGGAAGTGACGAGGACCTGTGGCAGTGACGAGGACCTGTGGAAGTGACGAGGACCTGTGGAAGTGACGAGGACCTGTGGCAGTGACGAGGACCTGTGGCAGTGACGAGGACCTGTGGAAGGCTAGTTGAAACCCTTAGAATTTATAGAATCTAAATAAGTTCTGCTCGAGACTAAATGAAAGTGCTGATATCCACTGGTCGGTGAGTTAAAACTTGATTTTCTTCTTAATCTCAGTTAACATAGATAAGGTTGTACTGTAAATTGAAGAGAAATTCGCGAAATTCTGAGGACATTGGCACACTGATGAAGGTCTGCAGAGGATGTCTTTAATAAAATTGTAAGTTTTACTTTATATGTAATAACTTCCAAAAAGCTGTACCAAAGAAAAGGTCATTGCTATGCTATATGAATATCTTATGAGTTTTAAGACTTAACCCTTACATCGTTCAGGACCAGTACTGAGTAATAGTGAGTATGCTCTTTATCGATACACAAACCCTCAAGAGAAACTTAAATTTTCGTGCATATATCTTTAACTAGAATGCGATTATATTGATCAGAAAAACTACAGGTGTTGTTTTGGGAAGGTGGCGTCCTACCGTGGCCTAGCAAAAGAGCTGCCCGGAGGGCGGCGATTCCGCTAGTACGTATATAAACGTGGGTTACATACATTAGGCTTATATAATTACATCACCCACGGTAACTTTATTATGAGGCGTGAGTAGTCATCAACTGGACAGGTGACAGTGTATTCCCACTGTGCCCTCACACCTTGACTGCAGTCATCAATTAAGCAGGAGGCTATCTCCAGTTCAACTCCCGCCTCTGAGGTACTGAGACGTGTGCTCTAAGAAGCAAGTTTTACCTAAGATTCGTCCCTTATTGATGGTCCCATTCATTGTGTAATAGTTTATTTTCTTAATAAATGGAGAAAAGACCATTTGGGTTTGAAAACTTAACCCATAAACATTTATAAATGTTGCTTCCAGTTCACCTCTGACTCCAACAGGTAAATGGAAACTGCTACATGAGGTGGCAGCAGTTAATGAATCTATGAACAGAAACCAGGGTTTTTACAAACTCTGATGATTTTTCTTTTAAATTGACATTCTTCAAATTTGCACAGGAGATATCCCCTTTCTGAGAGGCAGCAAATTTTAGCTACACACTTGTGATGTTCCAGTTCAATATACAAGTTTCTATTATTGTTATTATAAGTGATTTAATACATTTGATCACTTCATTTGTGGCAACACTGTACAAAGCAGCATTGCCACACCCTGAACATCTCTGCACCCTTGCCTTCAAGACGCTCTCACGTCTGTTTTCAGCTACTAAGCATAACAGCATCAGCAAACCTTCTCTCCTAGTGAGCAGAAGCACCCTAGCACCAAGAAACACCCCAGCATCAAGCAGCATCTGAGCCCCAGGCCCCCCCAGGGAGAGCCTACCCCAGTCTTCAGGTTGTGTTCTTTTGATTGGTCAACATGTGATAGCTGCTTTGGTATCACACTAATTGTTTTAAACAAGTTCTGGGACTCTTAAGTGGCAGGGCTTGATATAAACTCTTCTTGGTGTTTTCTGTTTACTGCTAAGGCAGGTATATACACAGATATAATCTGAGAGAATAAATTATGAATTCTCTCTGGGGAAGTGTTGTAAATAACACTTTGAGGTAATTTAAGTGAAGTGTGAACTTCCCAGTCTCGTGAGAAGGAGTGGACTCCTCCTCTCTGGGCTGTGAGAGTGTGTGGTAGCAAGCGGGCAGTGTTCACTGAATCAGATGACCCTGGCTTGACCTTTGAGAGAGATGCAAGGCAAGTTAGCATGCCATGTAGGGGACCGGTGGTAGAAGCGGTACCGTTCTTGCCTCGCAAGCGAGATGTCACGGGTTCGATTCCCGGGCCGGTGGAAGTTGTTTGGATTTACTTCCTAGCCCCCATTAATCCCTGTTCACCTAGCAGTAAAGTAGGTACCTGTTGTAAGTCGAAAGTTGCGAATTCGTATTCAGGGAGTTGTTGGAGCTTCCAATAACTTGATGACATAAACCACTGACTCTTCAGGCTTCTACGCCCTTAACTCATGAGACATAAAGGCAAGCATGAACTTAGCATGCTTCCCTGTTGGGTGCTGTAAACGCTTCTGCGCTTCACCTTACACAAGGATGTAGGGGGGTGCCCAATAAATAAATTAAGAAAAAAAAAAAAAAAAAAGTTACCATGCTTCCCTGTTGGGCGCTGTAACTAAATTCATAGGTAAGGAATATGACATTTTGAAGATTAACTCTAGCATATTACTGGCTAAGAACAGGTTGCGGAAACTTGCCGTGTACATTTTAGGAGTCAACAAAATGGTTACAACACTACTTATTTGGAGTTTGCTGATGACTTGAACCATTACTTTGAAAAGTGGATGAAAGTTATAACACAGTGTTTATCTACTCTGCCCCTAACAGATCCTCACGTTCCCGAAACCCTATTTATCATCCCTCTGCAGCAGTGTCTCTTACCGTCATTTTATGTATCGTGAAATTTGTTTTTAAAAAGTCTTTAACCTATCTACAAGTATATTCATTTTCAATACTTTTGGGAGGTTCTTTACAACTCTCCTTATCCATTTTCTTTATAATTTGGTTTGCGTTTCAATTACTGCCATTGTTGTTGCTTTATCATCCACCAGGTAGTCTCTCTTCTCTAACACTTCTTTGAATTCTTTCGAGTACCATTTTTTCTTCAATCCAGAGATTCTAACTCTGCTTTTATTTTCAGCTTCCATTAATCCCATTCCATTCTATCAATATTTATTTATTTATTTTTCAACATTATGACAATGATTACTATGACCTAGTCTAATCCACATTATGTACCTGGGTAGGCCTTAGTTTAGATGTCTTTCTTTTTTATGAAATGTGATGAGTCTTGACAATAATACTGCAATTATCATGTGGTGACGTCCACCAATAAAGATGCCTTTTATGAATGTTAGAACCATAAATTTGTAAAATGATTTTAATTTTTTTAAATGCGTTTCTCAACATTCTACTTCCATTACTCATTACATGTTGTCATACTTCTGGTGCTTCTATCCCTTCCCTTACCATTCCTTGAAAATCACGTATTATAATTACATATTCAATGAATATTTACCTCTTTTCCTTTCTTTACATCTTCCAAAATCTTTCGAAAACTTCATCCTTCCTATCATTTACAAGTGTAATATTTGAACTATTACCAAGTAAGTGGGCTTAACATTTGATATCAATTATATAATTATTTCTAATATTAAATATACCCTTTAACATACAGCATTAGTATTCTGAGACTAGAAAACAAAATTATTTAATTTAAATAAAACAGTGCATCATAAATCTCTATAAATAAGTCGTAGGATTTCAGAGAAAAGGCTCTTAATAAACAAAGTTATTTATTGATAACAAACACATCGGCACCGTTTACAGCAAAACCTTTAATAGCAGCTCCATTATACGATATAAAATTTGTGTTCCTTTCTGCTGGAGGAAATCTCGAGTTACACCCTTGTAGTAATTAGGCGAAGAGCAAACTCTAAACAAGAGCTAATTAAACATTGTAATAGATATAATAACATCCTACAACATAAAAAGTTCTCCTTACGTGACTTTTGGTATCCCAAAGCAAATGAACATAATAGAATCGTCTTCGTGAGAGCTCTACGCAAATCAAGGAATTCAGGAATGCTAGTAAAACATTTTACACTTCAAGAGACAGTGTGGTTTCCTCAACATTTGCAACAAAACCAGTTTTAGCACCCGCTTTGTATGTGATTGATCTTGTGCGTCCATCATCTGAACGGAAGCTGTAACTTCCTCTCACGTTCAAATTGGGGTCAGCTTCCTCTCTGCGAGAGCTACTTGGTGTTTCATAGCTGAAGGAGTAAGCTCCCCCAGGAGAAACAGAGCTCCTTAGTCTGGCTTCCTCTGGTGTTCCCGAAATTGAATATACAGTGGGTGCCCCGGAGGGAACTAGGGGTACACTTTCTGCTTCAGGAGCGACTGGTAGATCATCACCCTCTGCAACAAAACCAGTTTTAGCACCCGCTTTGTATGTAATTGATCTTGTGCGCCCATCATCTGAACGGAAGCTGTAACTTCCTCTCACGTTCAAATTGGGGTCAGCTTCCTCTCTGCGAGAGCTACTTGGTGTTTCATAGTTGAAGGAGTAAGCTCCCCCAGGGGAAACAGAGCTCCTCAGACTGGCTTCCTGTGGTGTTCCCGAAATTGAATATACAGTGGGTGCCCCGGAGGGAACTAGGGGTACACTTTCTGCTTCAGGAGCGACTGGTAGATCATCACCCTCTGCAACAAAACCAGTTTTAGCACCCGCTTTGTATGTGATTGATCTTGTGCGCCCATCATCTGAACGGAAGCTGTAACTTCCTCTCACGTTCAAATTGGGGTCAGCTTCCTCTCTGCGAGAGCTACTTGGTGTTTCATAGCTGAAGGAGTAAGCTCCCCCAGGAGAAACAGAGCTCCTTAGTCTGGCTTCCTCTGGTGTTCCCGAAATTGAATATACAGTGGGTGCCCCGGAGGGAACTAGGGGTACACTTTCTGCTTCAGGAGCGACTGGAAGATCATCACCCTCTGCAACAAAACCAGTTTTAGCACCCGCTTTGTATGTAATTGATCTTGTGCGCCCATCATCTGAACGGAAGCTGTAACTTCCTCTCACGTTCAAATTGGGGTCAGCTTCCTCTCTGCGAGAGCTACTTGGTGTTTCATAGTTGAAGGAGTAAGCTCCCCCAGGGGAAACAGAGCTCCTCAGACTGGCTTCCTGTGGTGTTCCCGAAATTGAATATACAGTGGGTGTCCCGGAGGTACGTGAGGAAACACTTCTTGCTTCAGGAGCGACTGGTAGATCATCACCCTCTGCAACAAAACCAGTTTTAGCACCCGCTTTGTATGTAATTGATCTTGTGCGCCCATCATCTGAACGGAAGCTGTAACTTCCTCTCACGTTCAAATTGGGGTCAGCTTCCTCTCTGCGAGAGCTACTTGGTGTTTCATAGTTGAAGGAGTAAGCTCCCCCAGGAGAAACAGAGCTCCTTAGTCTGGCTTCCTGTGGTGTTCCCGAAATTGAATATACAGTGGGTGCCCCGGAGGGAACTAGGGGTACACTTTCTGCTTCAGGAGCGACTGGTAGATCATCACCCTCTGCAACAAAACCAGTTTTAGCACCCGCTTTGTATGTAATTGATCTTGTGCGCCCATCATCTGAACGGAAGCTGTAACTTCCTCTCACGTTCAAATTGGGGTCAGCTTCCTCTCTGCGAGAGCTACTTGGTGTTTCATAGTTGAAGGAGTAAGCTCCCCCAGGAGAAACAGAGCTCCTTAGTCTGGCTTCCTGTGGTGTTCCCGAAATTGAATATACAGTGGGTGCCCCGGAGGGAACTAGGGGTACACTTTCTGCTTCAGGAGCGACTGGTAGATCATCACCCTCTGCAACAAAACCAGTTTTAGCACCCGCTTTGTATGTAATTGATCTTGTGCGCCCATCATCTGAACGGAAGCTGTAACTTCCTCTCACGTTCAAATTGGGGTCAGCTTCCTCTCTGCGAGAGCTACTTGGTGTTTCATAGTTGAAGGAGTAAGCTCCCCCAGGAGAAACAGAGCTCCTTAGTCTGGCTTCCTCTGGTGTTCCCGAAATTGAATATACAGTGGGTGCCCCGGAGGGAACTAGGGGTACACTTTCTGCTTCAGGAGCGACTGGAAGATCATCACCCTCTGCAACAAAACCAGTTTTAGCACCCGCTTTGTATGTAATTGATCTTGTGCGCCCATCATCTGAACGGAAGCTGTAACTTCCTCTCACGTTCAAATTGGGGTCAGCTTCCTCTCTGCGAGAGCTACTTGGTGTTTCATAGTTGAAGGAGTAAGCTCCCCCAGGAGAAACAGAGCTCCTTAGTCTGGCTTCCTGTGGTGTTCCCGAAATTGAATATACAGTGGGTGCCCCGGAGGGAACTAGGGGTACACTTTCTGCTTCAGGAGCGACTGGTAGATCATCACCCTCTGCAACAAAACCAGTTTTAGCACCCGCTTTGTATGTAATTGATCTTGTGCGCCCATCATCTGAACGGAAGCTGTAACTTCCTCTCACGTTCAAATTGGGGTCAGCTTCCTCTCTGCGAGAGCTACTTGGTGTTTCATAGTTGAAGGAGTAAGCTCCCCCAGGAGAAACAGAGCTCCTTAGTCTGGCTTCCTCTGGTGTTGTTCCCGAAATTGAATATACAGTGGGTGCCCCGGAGGGAACTAGGGGTACACTTTCTGCTTCAGGAGCGACTGGTAGATCATCACCCTCTGCAACAAAACCAGTTTTAGCACCCGCTTTGTATGTAATTGATCTTGTGCGCCCATCATCTGAACGGAAGCTGTAACTTCCTCTCACGTTCAAATTGGGGTCAGCTTCCTCTCTGCGAGAGCTACTTGGTGTTTCATAGCTGAAGGAGTAAGCTCCCCCAGGAGAAACAGAGCTCCTTAGTCTGGCTTCCTCTGGTGTTCCCGAAATTGAATATACAGTGGGTGCCCCGGAGGGAACTAGGGGTACACTTTCTGCTTCAGGAGCGACTGGTAGATCATCACCCTCTGCAACAAAACCAGTTTTAGCACCCGCTTTGTATGTAATTGATCTTGTGCGCCCATCATCTGAACGGAAGCTGTAACTTCCTCTCACGTTCAAATTGGGGTCAGCTTCCTCTCTGCGAGAGCTACTTGGTGTTTCATAGTTGAAGGAGTAAGCTCCCCCAGGGGAAACAGAGCTCCTCAGACTGGCTTCCTCTGGTGTTCCCGAAATTGAATATACAGTGGGTGCCCCTGAGGGAACTAGGGGTACACTTTCAGCTTCAGGAGCGACTGGTAGATCATCACCCTCTGCAACAAAACCAGTTTTAGCACCCGCTTTGTATGTAATTGATCTTGTGCGCCCATCATCTGAACGGAAGCTGTAACTTCCTCTCACGTTCAAATTGGGGTCAGCTTCCTCTCTGCGAGAGCTACTTGGTGTTTCATAGTTGAAGGAGTAAGCTCCCCCAGGAGAAACAGAGCTCCTTAGTCTGGCTTCTTCTGGTGTTCCCGAAATTGAATACACAGTGGGTGTCCCGGAGGTACGTGAGGATACACTTCCTGCTTCAGGAGCAACTGGAAGGGCATCACCCTGTGCTACAAAACCGGTTTGAGCACCTGCAATGTAACTGATGGTTCTTGTACGTCCATCATCAGCACGGAAGCTATAGCCTCCTTTAACATTCAAATTAGAATCAGCATCCTCAAAACGAGAGCTGCTTGGTGTATCATACTTGAAAGAGTAACTTCTGCCGGGTTTGAATGACGAGTAGACTCTTCCTGATGGAATGGAGGTGTCTTCACTCGGGCTACCTCGTACTCTTGCAGAAGGCAGAGATGGTCGACTCTGGGTGCTGACCACAGTCAGGGACAACACAGCCTGAAAAAACAAACAGAATGGTGCTTACTTTGTTTTGTTTTAACGTCTCATATTCTTAAATTTATAACTGAAGCTCTATATATATATATATATATATATATATATATATATATATATATATATATATATATATATATATATATATATATATATATATATATATATATATGTATCGGTAAAGTAGTTTCCAAGATTCTCGTGGGCACACACACGGTAGGACGCCACCCTCCTGGATTCTCCACATTGTCTCACTGTAGTGCATTAGGGTAGACCACAGTTTTCGTTTTGCCATTAGCAGCAAGTATGTACAGATTTTTGCCAGTTCCCACTCTGGAGCATCCAACATAGAACTGTCCATGAGAGAAGCAAGGAAACACTTGCTATCCATGCCAAGTTTGGTCTGGGCGGCTCACCCACTAGGCCACGGTAGGACACCACCCTCCGGGAGGCTCCACATTGTCTCACTGTTCAGTCCCCAAAACTTATTCTTTCATCAATAGTTCATTAACGGTGTATGTAAGTTCCACCATGTTTTTCACTACAACGGTACTGTAAAGTATATTTCTTTAGCATTAAACTGTTATTATTTTATTTTCTAATCATCACTACATATAACACCACCCATCATCACTACATATAACATTATCCATCATCACTACATATAACACCATCCATCATCACTACATATAACACCATCCATCATCGTTACATATAACACCATCCATTCTCGCTACATATAACACCATCCATTATCACTACATATAACACCATCCATCATCACAACAGATCGGTAAAGTAGTTTCCGAGATTCTCGTGCGGACACACACACAGACATACTTCTTTGTTTTATATATATATATATATATATATATATATATATATATATATATATATATATATATATATTTCATTAGCCCAATAAAGCACGCGGACTTCTACATACAATCAACACCTCAACCCTCCAGGATTCGAACCCACGGCCCACAAGCCCATGACTGTGACCGGGGAACGCTACCTCTGGACCACCAGGATACTAAAAGTAGTCCTAGACTCTGTTATATTTCACACAAAGCCTGTTCAACGAGCTTATGGCGCCGTGAACCTCTAATGGGGACTACCTGAATCACGTAGGTGGTCAGAGTGTCGTTTTACCAAAACCAGCTTCGAAACACGAGGATCCATATATATTTCATTAGCCCAATAAAGCACGGCGCCATAAGCTCGTTGAACAGGTTTTGTGTGAAATATAACAGAGTCTAGGACTGCTTTTAGTATCCTGGTGGTCCAGAGGTAGCGTTCCCCGGTCACAGTCATGGGCTCGTGGGCCGTGGGTTTGAATCCTGGCGGGTTGAGGTGTTAATTGTATATATATATATATATATATATATATATATATATATATATATATATATATATATATATATATATATATATATATATATATATATATATATATATGCAGGTCCAGTACGTTACCAATGACATGTCTGGTTTACATGCAGTAGCGATGTTTTTATGCCTTTTCTCGAGTAAAAATATTTATATATATACTGTATTGAAATCTGAGTTTGCTATATGGAGATCATAGTATATATACAGATATTACTTAATTAAAATCATAATAAAAATAATTTTGCATCGAGATGACTTGTTTATATCTATATACAAAGAAAATAAGAGGAAAAGAAGTTTACTCTTCTTTCATCAAGGACGCGGGAAGGACCGGGAGATGAGGGTACTGCAGCACCCCAATATTTTGGGTATAAGGTGCTGTAAATTGCACCACAGATTACCTAGAGGACAGCAGAATTAATATTTAGCATCCCCTGCCAAAATGTGCTTCCTGTGGTACTGTCCGTCACCATCGGTCAAAATAATGCATATGAACGCTACATACCGAATCCGAAGGGAATTGGTTCATATCAGTAATTTTTACAACTTTTGAATTTTTATATAATTATAGCTAATTGTATTAAATTTGGTAGTTTGAAAATATCGTTACTTCCCTAACTTCAAGAAAGTACAGTTTATAGACGTAAAATTTACAATTGAAAAACCTCCTACATTGAAACCTCAGACAGACCCACAATAATATTCTTCTTACTGGGCAAATTATTTAATGACAACTGTATTTTGAGAGCGTTGTCATAAGACTCTAAAAAGTAAGTTATCCCCAAGATTTAAATTGAAAAGCAGAAACGTTACCTAAAGATTCATTACCAGCAACGCAAACTGTGTCACTTTGGTAAACAAGTGTACCCGAATGTTTTCGTCATAACTTTACTTAAACGAAAGATATAAAAGAAAATTTAACCTGCAGAGTAAATGTCAATTCTGCTAGGTTTATACGTTTCTTTTTTCTTTGACTGATACTTTGTAAGTGAGCTTAATTTAACGAAAAAGTCCGATGAGGAATCAAGAAAAACGCGAATGTAAAATTTACGAAGTTGATATTCACAGTAGAAGTGCCAGAACCTGATAACAAACTCGAGTGAAGAGGCTACAGAATAAATTATCTCTAACTGCACTACTAAAACAATAAAATCTAACCTCTCCATTTTAGTTTATTCCATTTTCTGGATATTACTATTTGCTGAATGGAATGCTTGATCAGGAAAAAAGCTTTATGACTGGAGCAGGCTCTGAGACATTCAGGAGCCAGTGCATTCCTAGTACTTGCTAACAGTGAGTAACAGAGACGTGACCGACCGCCCAAGCGGCTACGAGCCGATCAGTGGCGAAGAGGGTAAAAGCTAATAAAGTAAAAAGCATGTCTAAAAGATTAGGCTACGTTATAAACCATGAGGTTGTTAGCACAAGAAAGGACACCATTTGCAGTCGTAGGAGGAATGGCTTGTTCTTCTGCCATCTACTATGCTCATTATTCTCATAAAGAGCTGAATTCTCTGAAAGGACAAATAAATCTGCGCTCGTTATTATCTTACTCTGGTGTCTGAGCAGACAACTTGAGGAGTACCTAATACTGTACACAGTTACTTCGGCGTCGATACTCATCTCTGCTCTAAATTGTATCAGACATCAAACGAAACAATCGTTTAATCTTAGTAAGTTATATATGATAAAAGAATAAAAAAAAAGAGTAATTCTATTGCTGGGCATTTAATGACATCAAATTCCATTAGTTCCAGTAGTCACAGCGCACACAACTCCTCCACGGCATTATTGACTGTCCTCCTCTTTCTTACCTTTTCCCAATCAATCGTCGCATGCTGTACTCCTTTACTATGTCATCTGTTTAGTCCTTGGATCTTTTGACTACTTATTTCTGCAATTTGTCATCCAAGATGTCTTCTTAGTCGTTCAGCACCTTCAATCTGTTACCAGTTAGCAATACATCACAGTTCATTGGATAACTTTTCACCTGACTGTCACTGATGCATTATCACATCACACATACCACATACCATCCATTTCAAAAACAACACAAAGTAGAAAGAATAATAAGATCAGAAGAGGACTACGAAAGAAAAATGAAGATAAGAAAAAAAGAACAATACTAAAAGAGAACGAACACAGTAGATCCGGCCGAAATAACCGAAAGGAGACGTGACCACCAAACCCAACACCTTCAATCAATCATAAAAAACAAGCGTTTACATCGTGACGTAATCGACCATGACAATCGGGAAAACCATCTGCATATGAACAAACGAAACCACCTTCAGTCACATCAAAACTAATAACACAAATCGTTATCACTACACATATCAGCAACTCTTAACCGCCAAAGCCCAAAGGCATACTGTAGTATATAATTATACTGTACAGTACGAGAATATTGACCACAATAACTTTTGATTCTTAGTAATATACTTTAACCACTCCAGCTACAGTTTTGAATTATAAGAATTTTAGCTTCAAGAACCTAGATATAAGTAAATGGAGGATCTGTGAGTTTTCTAACAAAAGCTAATTTATATTGAATTGCGAAATGCATTGAAAAAACAAACATAGAAAACCAGCGATGACCCCCCTAAAGCAACTGGAGACAAGTACAATGTGAGTCTTGAAGTAATGTCCAGAGATACTTACTATCACAGGCCACATCGACGCCATGGTTTCTGGTCTACCAACTGACACAGCTGCTCTAGTTACCAACCCTTTATATCCTGGCAAGGGGCGTGGTTTACAGATTGGTGACCACTCCCCTGCCTCTTCCTCCTCCTCCGCATGCTGGGGCTGCTCCTGCTCATACTTAACTGGTTGTCAGGTTTTTGTGGGTACCAGTACTGCCTCAAGAACCTCAGTCCAGGAGTAAACTTCAGTTGGGTACATTTCAAATGTTATGATATTATTACAATGGAACATTGAATTTGAATGATGAAATTTTAATTTTGTTCTATAAGTTTATTCAATTTTTAGGGTTGGTAAAACAACAGATATACAGTATATGAACAGGCTCTTCGTTTCACCTGATATATTTTGTTGAATATAATTGATGGTATATATTATTAAATGTCTTTAAATGTTTCTCCGGCCTCCCTAAAATATTCAAATATCAGCAGCAGTATAAATAATTTCAGTAGTAAGACAGATATATTACAGTTATCATGGCTGTGAGACGGGATAAGACGACCTTGACGTGGTGGACACGTGGAAGCTAATTCATGCCAGAACGAGATCGTCCTCAGCTCGCCAAGACAAAAAACTTGCAGAAGACCTCAACAAGGCTGAGAACTTACTGTTACCAACGCTGTCAGTGAGATGACGGAGATCACTGGATGCAAAAAATATTTTTATTTTTAGTAACGTACACTGTTGAGCACGTCCATTTTGTTTTGATAATGCCCTAACTGTCACGTTCCTGTTCAAGAAGAATGGTCTACTCATACAAACAGCTAAAGAGATTATTAAAGTGGGAACATTATTAGTGGCATAGGGTCGAGACAGTAATGCAAAAAAATAAAATAATAATAATAATAATAAAATAGAATTATTATTTTTAAATAAAAACCAAAAAGTTTTCTTTGTAACAATAAATGGAACCAAAAACGAGGTTTTATATTTATTTTTTTGGTTTACAAACCCTCCAAAAACATATTTTTTGTACTATTACAGCAATTATAATACTGCCTTAAGCCAATCTAGCAGTACTTACCTAATGCAACTGAGTTCTATTTAAATTACCAAGTTTATTTAATTAATGAATACAACTGAAATCTACATGTTACTTTTCCATGATCTAATATCTAATACAGAAAAGATTGTACAATAATGTAAAGCATTACTATTATTGTGTCCAGTGTATGTTGGACTATGAGGTACCACACTGGTAATGGACCAGATACTGTACAGAAAGCGTCTAAACAAGCTGACAGCCTGCCACTTGAGCCTCTGAGTCTCATTGAGGAAGGCTCCAGGTCAATTTATAATAGAGGACGTAATTCGATATTTTTTGTTGTTGTTTCTGTTGACAAGTCCACACAAAAACAAGACGATTTTCATCTATGGCGCTTTTGGCGCATTTAGCGCATAACCGAAATAATACATGGTTAATAGCACCAACCAAGCCTACCTAATCTTACCTAACTTCCCAACCAGTGGGTTCTGCCTCCCGGACATTGGCATATTAAATATCTCGGTTCTCGGTCGTTTGAGAGGGAAACGTCATAGAATAAAAATGTCTTAGAATTGTCTAATCTATTGATTACAAAGAAAAAAAATCCCGAGATTCGGTTGGTGGCAACAAATGTAACAATAGCTTTTCCTAGTAGTTTTCTGATTTTCAACTCCCGATATCTCGGTTGTGGGTAAAATACACCAAAAGTGTCAAATAAAAATCGTCTTGTTTTTATCTGAGATTATTATTAAAAAGAATATGTATGAACTGTGAGAAGGAAATTAGAGCTAAATATTAACAGAACTGAAAATGCCAGGGAGAAAGAAAACAGCAGTCGTGGCTCCTTATTAAAGGTATAGATTATTGTAGTGGTTGAAGGATTTAGGACATCGAGGGTGAAATGTATATTTTGTTGGACTGTTCTGAGCAAGAATAGAACAAGAATGATGAAGCATATTGAAAACTGTTTGATGTGCACAGATGATATAAAAAAGTACCTGAGTTCAGATAAATCTAAAGATAATTTCTTGCAATACCTAAACCCAGTGTTCTGTTTAGGGGAGTCAAAAGTAACAGAATGAGAGCATTTGAGCTTGGCACGCCTCAGGAAAACGTGTTAAGTCCAATGCTCTTTAATATACTGACGTATAAGCTTATTGCTGACATTCCAGTTCAGCCAAACAAGGCTGTAATGTGTTATGCTGAAGATATCTGCATTATGAAACCGACCAAGCTCAGGCTCCAAGCCTTGCTGGATGTATTTGCTCAGAGGACTGTCGAATGTGGTCTCATAATATCTGTTGACAAGACGAGGAACCTCAATCCTCGTTCTGCTCACCCTCGGCCTCTTAACTTTAAACAAACAGCATGCCCTTGGAACTATGTAGCTCTTATAAATATCTTGGAATTAATATGAATGATGCGAACTTCGTCGACAACCTTCGCGCCAAACTAATGCAGTGCATTAAACCCCTCAGAACCCTTGTTGGCAAGGGCTATGGAATTAACATCACCTATGCTCGTACTTTCTATCTTCACTTCATTCTTTCTGTAGTTGACTATCGTGCTCTCCATCTTGTGACTATTCCGCCTAAACAACTCAACAGCCTTGAGGTAGTGCAAAATGAAGCCATGTGCATCATTCTAGGATGCCCCAAATCAACCAGAATTGTAAACATGAGGAAAGAGCTCGGGCTGCCCTCCCTATCTTAGAGGATAGCTGTACTTAATATCATGTTTTGTGTCAAACATTTGAAGAACAATGGTCCCCAAACTACAGCTCAAACTGACTTGATGTTCTATCTAAGTAATCCCGACTTTCTCGCTAACCTTCCACAAAAGACTCTCTTTGGGGCGTGGCTTCATAAAAGTGTTGCAGATCTCTTGAAACTGAATGTCCCAATCACCCCAGACAGACCCATTAATGCCATTCCTCCTTGGCTGGATATATCAGTTCCTATTAATTACACTCCTGTTGGTAGTAAGCAAATGTTGAGCACCGATGTGATGAGATGTGTCACACTAGAAACTGTTAACAGACACATAGAGAGTGAATGTTATGCTTTTACTGATGGTTATGTGCAGACAAACACAGGTAGAACAGGCTGTGCAATTGTAATATGTAGAGAAACGATGGTAGTGTCAAACAGGCAAAGGCTGAACAACTGGGTCAGCACAGCACAAAGTGAGCTATTGGGAATCTACGTAGCCACAGACTTCCTTAAAGAAAATAGAGGTGGGGTGATATTCTGTGATTCTCAAAGTGCTTTAAAATCAATGAACAAACTGTCAGGTTCTATGTCTAAAGTTGTCTGTGATATCTAAAAAAAATGTGATAACTGCCAATGAGAGCAACTTTCGTATTGAATTTGTATGGATTCCGTCCCATGTTGGAATTGGGTATCATGACTGCTGATAGACTCGCCAATGAGGCATGTAAGAAAGAAAATGTTGACCGTGACCTTGGCCTGTCCAATGCTGTACTTAAAAACATTCAAGTCAGAATCATGAACTTTGTTCTAGAAGAACAGAGAAATGCAGAAAGACCTGGTAGTTGTAGCATTAGTAAATATGAAAAAAAAAATTGTGGCAAGAGGTACCGGTATGGCCAGCATAAGAACAGAACTAGGCAATGTGATGTAGTCGTGGCCAGAATTAGGCTTGTATACAAATACATCTGGCAAGTTAGCGGCGCTGTAGCCATACCGGAACACTCAGCATGTAAACTTTGTGATAACCTTTAAAGCATACACTTTAACACTATATTATTGAATGTGTGTAAGGGCAGTAACGAGCAGGATGATTGTTCGCCGCCTGCCTGCTTGTTCGCGTCCGCCACTTGGGGAGGGGGGTAGATGGAGGTGAGAACGTGACTGCTGCATTGACACACATCATAAGAACATAAGAACATAAGAAAGTGGGATACTGCAGGAGGCTGACTGGCCCATACAGGGCAGATCCCTTTCACACCCATCCCAGCACTTCCATGTGCCTATCCAACTTCGTCTTGAAGCTCCCTAGCGTCCCCAATCCTACTATAGCACTCGGTAGCCTATTCCACATATCCACAACTCTATTACCAAACCAGTGCTTGCCTATATCCTTTCTGAATAGGAATTTATCTAATTTAAAGCCATTTGTTCTAGTTATTTCGTTATTACTGAGCTTCAGAACATCTTCCATTTTACCCTTGTTAATCCCACTTACCCACTTGTACACCTCTATCATATCTCCTAACTCTACGCCTCTCTAATGAATGTAAGCCTAAGCTTTTCAGTCTTTCTTCATATGGAAGGTTTTCTAATATTATGGATCATTTTTGTCATTCTTCTTTGTACTCTCTCCAAAGAATCTATGTCCATTCTATAATAAGGACACCAAGACATAATCCATGTGTATTTTCCACCTAATGCTAGGTAAGTTTCAAGATAACGTCAGCAGTTCTGTTACTCACAGACCTAGATATGAACCCAGAATCCTGTTTTGCCTTTATTTGCGAACGCTAATACGTGTTTTCCTGAGTTTCAAGTCGTTTGCTAACAAATACACCTAGATCTTTTTCTAAACTGAGTTTTCTATTTCCGTGTTACCTAGTTTATACTTAACGCGTTTGTATTCGTCTTCCTATCTGTAGTACCTTGCATTTTATCAGTATTAAAATTCATTTGCCAGTCTGACCACTCATGTAAAGGTATCTAGATCTCTTTGAAGAGTATTCAAAGTCACTGTCTAATTTATCCTCTCCCCATTTTGGTATCATCTGCAAATTTACTAATCCTACTAGTTATACCTAAATCAAGATCATTAATGAATATAACAAACAGCAGAGGGCCTAATACAGATCCTGGGGAACTCCTTTTTGACCGCACCCCAGTCTGACTTTAATCCATTTATGCTGACTCTTTGTTTCCTACCAGTTAACCATGACCTAATCCATTTTAATAATCCACCTATTCCATGTGCTTCTACCTTCCTTATCAATCTCTCATGAGGGACTCTATCGAATGC